CTGAAGAAAGAAAATATAAAGACAAGGACCAGAATGAAGTATAGTTTCCCATTTGATGCTTTATACTCTTCTCACAGCCAACTCCTTCCATATGACAGTGAATAGTTACTTCACAGCAAAAGAGATCATACCAACTACATGAGGCAAACATAGATGCTAAAATAGCAGTTTATGTATTGGAAGTAGCACTCTTCTTCTTGCAGAACAGAGTCAAAGTAACTTATAATATTAGGGACAACCAGAAAGGAAGAAAAGTCAATCAAAAAAACAGAATAAGAGACTTAGATCAACAAGTTACCCTTCAAGACCAGGACTTGTTGGATAGTATATATTTCTGAACCCATGTTTTTTAGCTGCAGAAGTTGTTGTCTCCCCAATATATGCAACAGCATTGTCCCACTGTCTCGATGCAGTAAGATTAGCCCATACCCTGTCAAATAACCCAGCAGAAGGAAAAAGGAATGAGAAAGGAAAAAGAGAATAAAGCCTCTAAATGAACCATACCCTGTTCACTGGCTCAATGAACTATGTCCGGAAACATCTGTCTAATATTTTCTAGCATGTTGGTGGAATTACAGTTATCCGCTATAGAATTAGTGCACTTGCTTATGCCAATAATAGATATCAACGTGTCATCTGTCTACTTTTGCTATAAAAATGAATATTTTGGAACATTGTACCTGAGGGCAGAAGGAGATGCTACAGCAACAACGGGAGCAGAGAGTGCTAGTTCAAGAAGATATTGATCAACGTGATTGACTGGTGCCTGCAAGAAATGGAAAGGTTATACGCAGTAGAATGAAATCTAATTAGTTCCATCTCAAGAGAAGGATCCAAGATGTGGTGCTCTATCTGAACTTTGACCATATGTCAGGAAAAGATGATAAGTGGCCCTCTTTTTCAGGGCAAGTGCGTGTTACCAAATTTGCAAGCACACTGGTCTCATGTGAGTAAAAATGAATTTTCTTCTCCAATTGGGCAATGGAGAAATATCATACCGTTGTGTAAGTGTTCAGCCGAGTAACCTCGAATCCCCGCCCAGAATGTCCTTGCTCTGAAATAAAGGAGCCATATGTCAGTTTAAAACTACTCAAAGTACTTCTGTATTCCGAGGAAAATTTGCATACTAAACATAAACTATCAAGCTGAGACAGTTGCAAAATATCGGATGAATGAGACTCTTGTACAGATTATGGCCATGAGGAAAGGGAATGGGCTGTGAATTTTGGGGTTAATATGTTTCTTTTGTTCTTCCTTTTTAATTTTTTTCTTGAATAACGGTTTACAATAGAAAAAGGCACCTCTGCAGAAACTATAGATCCCTACAGAACCAGAAAAATCAGAATGAGAATGCATGGAAAAAGAGATTTCTGTATGAAATCAGGTTGATAGGAGAATTAGGCGAGACAGAAACATAAAGAGATGGAGCAATATACCGATGTCAGTGCTGGCTTTTGCTGAAGCAGGATAGAGAACAGTGCACTTGTTATTCCCATTCTTCGGAAGCTCTAAAGCTAAAACCTTGCCAGTTGCTGAAAATGCAAATAGAATGAAATTTTCAGTCAGTCAGGCAAAAACATAACATCAGTCAATTTTTTACTGCAGAACAGTTTGCAAGTAAAAAAATGTATTTAAATGAATGACAAATGCAAGTGTCATCCCTGATGCACATGTGTGTGCCTTATGCTATTTCTAAATGTCAAAAGAGCAAGTGGGAAGTTTACTCAATACCCTTTGATGGTGCAAATGCCACATCAAGATACTGATTTGAAGACTGAACAGCTTCATCAAATATGCTGGTTGTACCAGATCCAACAACTCACATAACTGTGAGGAGAACTTCAAGATTTGGAGACCAACTTCAAAAATAAATTTCCATCAATAAGAAAGGTTTTTGATGTTGATGAGAAATCGAGTAACAATAAGAAGAGCAGGGGAGCGATTCCAAATGAACACTGTTGTTGGATTCAAGAAATTATTTCTCAGGTTATTTCTGGTGCAATTCGAGTGACTCCAACAACTGGAGAGGAAATAGCACACTTTAATCTAGCTATGCTCAAAGAATCAAGTCATTCCACCGTGCCAATATCCAGTTCTAGAGATGGCAATAGTAATAATGTTTACAGTCCTAGATCACCTCAGAGTCATAAGGATGCTAAGCAGCAAAATTCACAACGCTTGCAGGCAGGTATGAATTCAGAAATAAATTCTCAAAAGCCCAAAAACTGTAATGTTGATCCTGAAGTCCAGGAATGAGCTGATTTCTCTAATTGAAAGTTGTAAACAAGACATGAGGGTCATTCAAGTTAACTGGTTTAAACCTCTTCCATCCATTGTTAAATTAAATACTCATGGGAGCGCTTTGGAGAACCCAGGAAAGATTGGGGCTGGTGGTATTCTTAGAGATCACAAATGTGACTTGATTTATGTAGATAGAGGAACATCCTCCATAGGACAATCCAATGCAATCCAAATTAAGTTAATGTATTAAATAAGAAAACACTTAATGAAAGAAAACAATCCAGACCACACCCAAAATTTAAAAAATAGAGAAAACTCCAATAGAAGTCTAATGAAACAGAGGAAACAGTCAAACGAGTGCGAGCAAAAGTTTGAAATTATTTTTTTAGCCAGACTCTAGCGAGGAAGAAGAAAAAGGAGATGATGAGGAACAAGAATAATAGAATACATACCTGGAAGAAGAAGGAGAGACGCACTAGTCGTAGTCAATGAAAGGTAAGCCCCTACAGCTATGAAGTTACATAAAAAATCAATGTCATCTTCATCATCTATGTCACCATCTTCATCTTTATCAATACTTGTAGTGCCTTCAGTTCTATCAAGATCACTTATGTACTCAATTATACTGTCGTCCTCTAGGTCAGAATCTTCGGTATTGTAACCAACTTCATGTTCTGTTTGAACCTTCAATTCATATGCACTTGAATCCAAGGTAATTGAATCAACATCATCTCTATGTAATTGGATCGGCATATCCTCAATAGAAACATCTATCATGTTACTTTCCATTGACACATCTTGATACACTTCATCAGTAGTGTGTAATTCATCACTTTCCACCTTTGAATTTTGCATCTCTAGCACATCATATATATGTCTATCTTGAAATTTTTGCACAATTCGCCAATTTCTTCCTAATTTCGGATCACAAATATAAAATACTTGCTTTGCTTGAGTAGCTAGTACAAAAGAATCATGTTCATACCAAAATCTATTTACATTTATACTGGTAAAATTTTTATCGTTCTGCATCCCAGTTTTTTTACGAAGATCAAACCACTTGCATTTAAATAGAACAACTCGATTGCCTTCTATATACTCTAACTCAATAATGTCAACTATAATACCATAAAAGTCAATCACTTCATTTTCATGATAGCCTTCAACAACTATGCCACTATTTTGACTTTTACGTAATTCATCACGACTTTGAATATGGTACCTAACACCATTAACAATACAACCAGGATATCTCCTTCCTCGAACATCAGGTCCCATTGCCAAAGGATATAACTTCTTGATAGACATTGAATTCTCCTTATTAGACAAATGCATAATCTATGATGAAAAATTATTACATTCAATTAGTAAAGAAGAAAAAGTTAAACTTAAACACAACACGATTGTCATTTTTAAAAATCACTTACTTTCCCTTTGAACCATAAAGAAAAATGTTCTCTATGTTTCTCTTCTATATTCACAACATCTTGGTTTAACAACTCATTTTTGTGTTCCCTACATAGGAAAAATGAATTTATGAGTAATTTAAAATAACAGAAAACCAATATAGATAAATAGGAAAACTTACTGTAGAAAAGGCTCTGCTTCTTCACAATTATTTAACACATACCACTGAGCCATATCAAAATCTTTCTTCGGTATTGCATCATATTCTCCTTTAAATGGTCTAACACTTTTAGAAAATATGTCCAGAACATGTTCCTCTTTGTTGCTAGATCCATCAGCATTTCGATCTTCACGATTAAATCTAGTCTCAATGTTAGTAAGATACATAGAGAAAAATGTCAAACATTCATCAATAATATAACCTTCTGCAATAGAACCTTCTGGTCGCGCCTTGTTTCGCACATAACGCTTAAGCTTACACAAAAATCTCTCAATTTTGTACATCCAACGATACTGTACTGGTCCCCCATACATAGCTTCTCGTGGTAAATGTACAGCCAAATGTACCATAATATCAAAAAAAGCAGGTGGAAAGATATAATAACTATATCCCTTTCAAGTTGTTCTAAGTCATCTCGTTTCAATGTCTTACAACACAACCGTTGAAAGAAATGACCTAACTCAATCAATGCTAAAGAGACATCTTTATTTCCAAATCCACGAATAGTTATAGGTAGCAATCGTTGTAGCAAAACATGATAATCATGACTTTTGAGTTTAGCTAACTTAACACCATCTGCACTTACACACCTTGAGATATTTGAAGCATAACCATCAGGAAATTTAACACATTTCAAAAATTCCCCAAATTCTTTTTTCTCTTTTTCTGACATGTTATAACAAGCAGATGGCTTTGTATAACTAGAATCATCATGTTGCAACCATAGTTCCTTTCTTATGTTCATATCCTTAAGATCTTCTCTTGCTTTCTCTGTGTCTTTAGTTTTCCTGTCAATATTCAGTAATGTCCCCAAAATACTCTCACAAATGTTCTTTTCTATGTGCATGACATCTAAATTATGCCGCAACTTCAAGTTCTTCCAGTATGGTAACTCAAAGAAAATACTTTTCCTCACCCAATTCAACTCTATAGGAAGACGCTTTTTTTTCTTATTATTTGAGTGTTTTCCTGGTCTATAAGTATTGAGTAGATCCAATTGTTGTAAGACATCATCTCCTGAGAGCTCTTTTGGTTTCAATCTTTTTTCTACCTTCCCATCAAACTTCATGCTTCTTCTCCATGCGTGGCTAGGTTTAAGATACCGACGGTGACCCATGTAGCAAATTTTACTTCATACCTTTTGTGACAGTGCATCCTTATTGCAAGTAGGGCATGCCATGTATCCTTTAGTACTCCATCCAGATAAATTAGCTAATACAAAAGAAATAATATATGTTAGCTATTACAGTTATGTGTTCCCCTGTTATTAAATTTATGTTCGTAGCTCTTCTTAAACAAGAAGTGTATCCTAGATTAGAAACATATAAATAATGGGAATAAAAATATGTCCAAATGCTAATAAATAAATAGGAAACAATTTTTAGGCTGGAGATTATTTAGACATATTGAACAATAAGAAATATAAACACTTACCATAAGCTGGAAAGTCATTTATGGTCCATAAAACAGCAGCATGCATCTTGAAGCACTCCCCTGTGGAAGCATCAAATGTCTCTACACCATCACTCCATAACTCTTTCAATTCATCAACCAAAGGCCGCAAGTAAACATCAATATCCTTTCCAGGTGCTTGAGGACCAGGAATAAGTAGTGACATCATCATAAATGGATCAGTAAAGCATTTCCATGGAGGAAGATTATAAGGAAATAAAATTACAGGCCACATGCTATAGTTTGTGCTCATATTCCCAAATGGGTTGAAACCATCAGTCGCGAGGCCAAGTCTAATATTACGTGGTTCTTGTGCAAACCACGTATGATTCTTATCAAACTCTTTCCAAGCTTCAGAATCAACTGGATGTCTTAACACATTCGTCTCATCAAGATATGTTTCTTTATGCCACCTCATGTCAGTGCTTGTTTTTTTTGACATAAATAATCTTTGAAGTCTCGGCTTTAAGGGAAAATATCGTAAGACTTTATGAGGAATCTTTTTACCCTTTCCCTTTTCAATTTTCCACCTTGAAGTACCACATTGTGGACATTCTTGTCTATCTTTAAATTCACCCCAATAAAGCACACAATCATATTTACAAGCATGAATCGAAATGTATCCTAATCCCAAACCTTGTAGCATGTTTTTGGCATCATAATGCGACTTAGGAAGTGTCTCGCCATTAGGCAATGCATCTCGTAGCAACTCTAACAACATATTAAATGACTTGTTTGATAACAACAAGGTTAAGGGAGATCACAAATAGAGAATTAAATATTAGAATGCGGAAGCACAAAGAAAAGAAACAAAAAAACTAAATAAAGATATGGGAAATTCGAAGGAAAGATCCACGAATTTCCAAAGATTAGATGTTCTAAGGCCTTGAAAAGATCCAAGTAACAACGTATAGATTTATGGAAGAAATCTAACGCCTTTACTTGAGAAAACGAATCAAAACGATAGATTCGGATCTTGACCGCTTTATGAGTAACTAAAGACAATAATTAGTATGTAGAAACTAATCACCTTCTAAAGAATACCAAAAAGAAACCAAAGATATCACAAGAAGAAGTTACTTTATACCTTAAACTATGAAACTAGTAAAGGTTTAAAGATAAATTCTCAAAGAACAAGTCACAAAGGTTCAAAGAACTCTCTCAAATATTCTTAATATCAATCTAAATTGTCTTTAATGAATGAAAAAGGACTCCTATATATAGGAGAAGGGAAAAACGTCCAAGAAGCCCAACCCTAAAAAAACAATTACAAGGAATCCTACTCTAGAAAGGAAATAAAGTAACCTAACTAGGAACAAATTTAGTACTTCTAGGAAAGCATTAAATGGTACTTAGGAGACCATAAATAGACTAAGGAAAATATTAATAACCTATATATAAATAAATAAATAAGGTAAATCCCAACTAGGAAAAGAATCTTGACAATCTTGGAAAGTTTGACTAGTCTTCTCTCAAAACTTGGGCAGAAAGCAACTCTTGTTGTGGCTGATTCTTGGACTCTTCTTGACCTTTTTTGCACGAAATTGGACCTTAAAATTCCTCATCTTGGGCTTGAATTTGGGCCACCAAATAATTGTAGCATTTGGACAATTCCTCTCCCTTGGGCTGGAGCTCTTCTTCCCCAATAAGAAACCTTTGGATCAGCGATTGAAGCCCATTGAGCTTATCATTGAACTCCTTGGTTTGAGATCTTGTTATGGGCCTCCTTGGAGTTTCTAAAGCGTCATCCTTGTCCTTCAATGGAGTAGAGCTTCCTTGGATGCTATCATTCCCCTCTTCTTGAAGAGAATTCGTCCTCGAATTCAAATCTGCATCAAAATGGGAAAGATCAGAAACATTAAAAGTAGCACTAACTTGGAACTCACCAGGAAGATCAAGTTTATAAGCATTGTCTCCAATCCTTTCAAGGACTTTGTATGGCCCACTTCCTCTAGGATCTAGTTTGGTCTTTCTTTTGGAAGGAAATCTTTCCTTTCGCATATGCACCCAAACCAAGTCACCAGGTTTAAAAACAACATATTTTCTGCCCTTATTCCTTCGCCATGCAACTTCCTTGTTCTTCTTTTCAATTGCAAGCCTTGTTTGTTCATGAATTTTCTTCATCATATCAGCCTTCTTCTTACCATCAAGATTAGCAAAATCATTAGTAGGCAAAGGCAATAAATCAAGAGGGGTAAGGGGGTTGAATCCATATACAACTTCAAAAGGAGTCTTACCAGTAGAAGAATGGAAGGTCCTATTATAAGCAAATTCTACAATAGGTAAGTAATCTTCCCAAGAAGTCAACTTTCCTTTCAAAATAGCCCTCAACATGTTCCCTAAAGTTCTATTAACCACTTCCGTTTGCCCGTCCGTTTGTGGGTGACAAGATGTAGAAAATAGCAATTTAGTTCCCAACTTTCCCCAAAGAATTCTCCAAAAGTGACTTAAGAACTTGGCATCCCTATCACTAACAATAGTTCTAGGTATTCCATGCAATTTAACCACTTCCTTTACAAACAAGTCAGCCACATGAGATGCATCATTAGTCTTTTTACATGGGATAAAACGAGCCATTTTAGAAATTCTATCTACTACCACAAATATACTATCCTTACCATACTTAGTCCTTGGCAGCCCCAATATGAAATCCATAGAAATATCAATCCAAGGGGAATTAGAAACAGGTAAAGGAGTATAAAGACCATGCGGCAATGTTCTAGACTTAGCCTGTTTACATTCAAGACAATAAGAACACACTTTTTCAACATCCTTTCTCATGCTAGGCCAATAAAAATGTTCAGAAAGTATTTCCAGTGTTTTGGGTACACCAAAATGTCCCATTAGCCCTCCACAATGTGCTTCCCTAACAAATAGTTCACGCAACGAGCAGTTAGGAACACATAATTTATTTTCCTTGAATAGAAATTCATCTTGAAGATTAAATTTCTCAAAAGGACCTAACTTACATTCAGCAAAAATCTCACCAAAATCAGAATCATTAGCATAGAGGAACTTGATTTGGTCAAAACCCAATAACTTTGAAGTAAGAGTAGAGATCAAAACATACCTTCTTGAGAGTGCATCAGCAACCACATTCTCATTTCCTTGTTTGTAAGCAATTACATAAGGAAAAGTTTCAATAAACTCTACCCATTTAGCATGCCTACGACTAAGTTTACCTTGGCTCTTCAAGTATTTTAATGACTCATGATCAGTCTTGACCACAAATTCTCGAGGCCACAAGTAGTGCTGCCATGTAGCTAACGCCCTCACCAAGGCATATAGCTCCTTATCATAAGTTGAGTAGTTCAATGTTGCTCCACTTAGCTTTTCACTAAAGTAGGCAATTGGCTTGGAGTCTTGCATCAAAACTGCACCTATGCCCTTACCAGAGGCATCACACTCAACTTCAAAAGACTTAGCAAAATCAGGCAATTGCAAAAGAGGCGCAGAACACAATTTATCCTTCAGCAAGTTAAATGCATCATCTTGTTCCTTTCCCCATGTAAAAACCTTATCTTTTTTAATAACTTCAATTAAAGGAGCAGCAATGGTGCTAAAGTCTCGCACAAACCTCCTATAAAAACTAGCAAGTCCATGAAAACTCCTAACTTCAGTTACACTATTAGGTTTAGGCCATTCTTTTATTGCCTTGATTTTCTCATCATCTACTTCAACTCCCTTAGAACTGACCACAAAACCTAAGAAAACCACACGATCCACACAGAAAGTACACTTTTTGAGATTAGCAAATAAGCGCTGATTTCTAAGAACTTCAAAAACTTGTTTTAAGTGCTCTAGGTGTTCATCCAGATTTTGAGAAAAGATCAAGATGTCATCAAAATACACCACAATAAATTTCCATGGAAATCTTTAAAAACATGATTCATTAGTCTCATAAAAGTGCTTGGTGCATTAGTCAAGCCAAAGGGCATAACTAACCACTCATAAAGTCCATATTTGGTCTTAAAAGCAGTTTTCCATTCATCTCCAGGATTCATACGAATCTGATGGTAACCACTCTTTAGATCAATTTTAGAAAAGATTTTGGAACCATACAGTTGGTCCAACATGTCATCAAGACGAGGGATAGGATGGCGATACTTTACCGTTATCTTGTTGATGGCTCGACAATCTACACACATCCTCCATGTTCCATCCTTTTTGGGGACCAATAGGACTGGAACAGAGCATGGGCTCATACTCTCTCGAACAAATCCCTTTACAAGCAATTCTTCAACTTGCCGTTGTAATTCTTTGGTCTCTTCAGGATTGCTCCTATAGGCAGGCCTATTAGGAAGTTGAGACCCAGGCACAAAGTCTATTTGGTGCTCAATCCCTCTCAAAGGTGGCAATCCCTTTGGAGTGTCATCAGGAAAAACATCTTCAAAATTCTGCGAAAGAGAAGAAACACTATTTGGCAAAGAAGGAGTTAGTTGTTCAAAATTAATCAATATTTCTTTGTAAGTAAGTAGTATTATGGGCAGTCCCTCTCTCCTAGCATTCAAACACTCTTTGGCTTTTATATAAAGGCTCTCATTTTTCTTTTCCTTAGCCTCTTTCCTCTCACCAAAACATTTTATTTTTTTACTCACACCCTCTTTTACCTCTTTACTTAGATCGCTGCCCTCTCTCTCTTTCTCTCGGCCATCTCTCTTTTTTTCTATCTCTTGGCCCTTTTCTTTTCCCTCAAGCTCACTTTTTACCTCTCCCTTTTGTTTTCCCATTGTTTCCCTCAATCGTTTTTGATCTTCAAACACTTGAGAAGGAGATAATGGTGCAAGAGTATACTTCTTACCATTATGCAGAAGACTATACCTATTCTTTCTCCCATGATGAGTAGTATCCCTATCATACTGCCAAGGTCGGCCAAGTAAAACATGACATGCTTGCATTGGAACTACATCACAAAGAATCTCATCTTCATACCTACCAACATTGAATGAAATCATGCATTGTTTGTTTACTTTTACTTCTCCACAATCATTCAACCATTGGAGCCTATATGGGGTAGAGCGCTTCATGCATGCAATTCCTAGTTTATCCACCAAGTATGAACTCACCACATTTGCACAACTTCCCCCATCAATAATCATAGAATAAGTCTTCCCTTTTATCCCACACCTAGTATGAAACAAATTCTCTCTCTGCCCTTCATCAACACTACCCAAATTGATAGTCATAATTCTCCTAACCACCCCAATTATACCATCATTAGGCAGTTCCAAATCATCTTCCTCACTTACACCTTCTCCCTCTTCTTCTTCCCCCTCACTTTTTTCACTCTCATATTCTCCATTCTCTCTAAGTAGGATGTTTCTTCTACTTGGACATTCATGCATCATATGCCCCCTTCCATGACATTTGTGACATTGAATAGAACTTGAAGGTTTAGAAGATTTAGGATTAAAGGTTTTACCTCCCTCCTCAACCTTACCTTTACCTCTATCATCTTGAGGTTTGGAAGGAGCTTTCCCCTCTTGAGTTGACCATGGCTTCTTAGAGATAGTGTTTGGTCGACTTCTCCATGAGTTATTTTGCTGCTTTTTCTCAATTTGTTTTTCAACTTTTACAGACAAATCAACTAACTCATCTAAAGTTACATATTGTTGTATCTCTACTACATTAGCTATTTCTGTATTTAAACCATTTAAAAATCTAGCTATTGTAGCCTCTTCTTCCTCCATGCAGTTAGCTTGGATCATAGCCATATCCATGCTTT